CTGCCAGCCCTCTGGCACCTTATCCCTGGTCTTCCATCTTTTACTCAGAGGTAGTCCTGTTTTGAATCTTGGGGATTTTTTTTCTCCCTTTTTAAAATTAATTATCTCGACTTATATGTTCATGACTACCTTTGTAAGAACTGTTGGGGACTTTTAAAAATATTTTCTCAAGTTTATCACCTTGAGAATTGGAACTATTTGGTAAGAATAAGCAAAATTACCTACCCTGTGGTGGAATATTTTAACTTCTAGAGGAGACTGCAGCATTTTTGCTGATGTGTATCAGGAACTATGAGCCAGTGAGTCATTGAAGTACCATTAATAATAGCAAAAAATTCAGATAACTTACAGAGGCTGGGTGGAAAAAAAAGCAATAGTTTTCTGTAGTAATTAGGAAGATTGATGTAAATCTCATTTAGTTGAAAGGAAAAAAAATGTAGAAAGCATGAATCGATGATTCAAAGTGTGCACCTACTATGTCCTAGAACTAAGAGTGGAATTAGGATTGTTGATGTTTTAAAGCCTTATTTAGTTGGAAACACTGCGTTCAGCTAAAATAATTCTTTTTCATAGCTTGTTCTGTATGGCAATTCTGCAATTGATTCATAGTACTAGCATGAATACTGAGTAATCGAGAATGTCCCAATTTTATGCAGGAAGCAGACAGATAAGAGAAACTTGGTTGTTGAGCACATCCCCATAGGTAGCTGAATGGAGAAGATGTATATTTTCAGTCTGTTTCAAACGTCTTGAATTTCAGGTCCCTGATGACCTGCCATGCCAGGGTCTTGCAAATATGATTACCTAAGTTTGTCAGACACTGAAAAGTAATAACAGAAATAACTGGCTGGCTTTGCTTTCATACAGTCACACTAGTAGAGATGAAATCTGAAGACAACAACAATAACAAAGATCACTGGGGCCAAGCTAATTGGAGCCCTGGTGCCTGTCTGCATGTGGTTCTGTCCTACCCTTTGTATAGCTACAGACCTGCTATATCAGGTCAAACGACACCTTCTCAAGAGCTTCTTCTCTTAGCAGTGTGTAGCAGATACACTTTTGTGTCCTTTACCACCTCCTCAGGTGTATTTATTTTTTTAAACATATCTCTTAATTATTTAAAGTAACAGGTGTTGGAGAAATGCCTTGGTTGTTTTAGCTCTCCAAGAAACCTGGCTTCTATTCTCAGCACCCACATAGTGGCTCACAGCTATCTGTAAATTCCAGTTCCAGGGTATCCAACCCCATTTTCTGATATCCAAGGGCAGCAACACTCACGAGGTGTACATACATGCATACAAACAAAAGATTCATACATATAAAAGTAATACATCTAAAAAATTAAATAATATGTTCAACCTCTTCTCATCTGTTATGTATACCAGTTTCCCCATGGTAAGCCATGTGACTGTAGGACTTACGTTGCCTTCTGCTTAGGAAGGCTCTGAATAGTGTGTGGCAAATAGCAGAGGCTCAGTGTTCACTGCTTTTTGCGTGAATTTGTTCATGTAGCTGCAGGCAAGTTAAGCACTTAACTATCAAATGACAAGTATGTTCAGAATCTTGAGAGAGTTTTAACATGGTGTTTTGTAAATTGTGACATCGTGTAAGTGAGATCAATTATGTAGATAGCTTTGGGTATAAACTAGAAAAAGTATGGTCATGATTTATTAAGTATTCTTATCACAGAGGTCAAGCATGGTTGTTATTTGTTAATTTTTATCTCCTTCAAACTCAACAACACAAAAAGGCAACCCTGTGAATCGTGATTATATACCTACAGCTAGTGGCCTACTGTGACCCTCCTTGCTCTGCTTCTTCTCCTGGGATCTAGATCTTATCCAGCTTTCTACTTTTTTGTTTTACAGTTTTATAGCAGCTATATGCATACATACACACATATGTACATACATACATATATTCCCAAAAGTGCATTTTGTATGTGATATGTATATGCAGGTCTATAAAATTTTGATTTTCTAAAATATTTTATTACATTAATTTATTGATTATTGTTGGGCATGTGTATGCACAGTAAAAGTATGGGAGAGGGCAACTCATGGGAGTCTATTTTCTCTGCCATGTGGGTTCTGGGACCAAACTCAAGTTCTCAGGTGTGACAGGTAGTAGGTGCCTTTTTACAGTGAGCCACCTCCCCAGATCAATCATTTAATTAGAAAAATTTGTAATCATTTATGATTCTTATCATTTGACACATATATATGTGTAAATATATAAAATCTGATTTTACATGCATAGTATCAATCCCATTTTCCCCAAATTCTTGGGACGTGTTTCAGATTTCAGTGTGTTTGATTTTTTAAAAATCTTTGTGTGAATTTTACTGGTGAAGTGTGTGTATGAGGTTAAGCTGAAAACCTAAATAATCCCTAAGTTTCATGAAAATTTGAAGGCACTTTGAATTTCTTTTCATTGTTGGATTAGGGATTTGCATCTATGTGCCTACACATTATCCATCTTGTTAACCGTGGCTGTAATTTGTTCATCTGGGTTTGTGTACTCTTCCCAGTTTACTTAGTTTCTTTCAGATAGAAGAATTATAGGAAATGACAACAATTTATCTTCAGGAGCTAAAACTTCACAATACCGAGACAAGGTACCAGTGACAATGTGAAATCTGCTTTTAACATGGTAAAATGAACACCTAGACATAGAAAGTTCTCCATGAATGTATCTTCTCCAAATGATTAGCCTATGAGACATGAGTAAAAAATTTATTTAAGCATAAAGAGTGAAGGATTTCAGTGTAACAAAATATAAGGTATTTGTATGTGGAGTGTAGCACCGTGATGCAGCCACACTTAAGGAAACCACAGTTGCTGCATTTTTGGTATCAGGAAAGGACTCCAGAGGCCAGAACAGTCCTCTCATCTCATTACTTGTGTGAGGTTCTTTAGCCAATACAGTGTTCTGAGCAGCTTATATGGTCCATGGATCTGAGAACTGCCTGCTTTTTGTAGACCAGGCATTAAATAGATGTACTATAATATAGACTAATGCCACCTACCTATGTAAAATCGTTTTGAACACATGCTATTTAGGTGAATACTTGATACTCTTTTAAATTATGTTAATATTGATGTTTTAGAACTTTATTCAATTTTAGTTTACAACCTAGAAGATCTGGGTGGACATGCAAACCTAAGCTTGTCCATGATTTTTACAGGCAAAAGGGAGTCCTGAGGAGAAAATTTGGAGCATTCTGGATAAAATATATTTAATTGTGTTTACTAATAAAAGAATTTTAAATTGTGGTTAGTTTGTGAATTTTAATACTTTAACCTCTAACCTGTGTATACTGAGCAATATAAATACAACCACCACCTTTATGATACAGGCCTAATGGGGAACCCAGGTTCATTCCCTTGAGGCCAGGAAGGAGTGGCCGGATTGTATAGAGTGTGGGTCACACAGGGCAGGCTGCACTCAGTGGACCTGGTTTATAGCTGTTCACTACATGTGCTTTGGCCCAATGATTAGTTTTCTGTAGGACTTACATAGTCTATAAGTTGATATATAAGATTTCATTTCTCCGTAGTTTCACAAATGCTTTGCAACTTTCTCTGTGGTTGATTACACAGGTTGGGTGACTTTGTGTTGATGTTGCCCTTGATAGTACTGCTCCTCACTTACTGAGTTAACAGTGCAGGTTCAAGTTTTATTGTACATCTGCTATGTGCCCAATATACCAACCTTTTTTTTTTTTTTTCTTTTTAGTTGTTGGTGTTGTTTGTTGTTAAAGTAGGTGATGGGACAGGGGTAAAACAGGTTAAAAAGTTAAATCCCAACAAATAATGTCATTCAAGGTCTTAGTAGATCAAGATTTAGCTGCTTATCTACAAAGCTTGCTTCCTTGTGAGTCCCAATAATATTGACTATTTCATATAATGTGATTATTGCCCTTATTATATAAACACCCAGCTAGAGGGCTGACCAGTTCTGCACAGTCTTGTTCTTCACCTCTATTCATGCATAAAGCACACATTTTATTGGACGGAATCATTGTGTTTTAGAGACAAGGAAATAGAAGCTAGGTGGTTGTTTCCTCTGAGTAGTATCCTTGCCCTTTATTAGACAGATCATTTTGTCCCTGAAACTTGCTAAACTCGTTTTCAGATTGGTAAGACAGAGACATAAAGAGAGAGATCTTCCCAGTGTCATCTGGCTGTTTGGAACAGTGTGTGTGTGTGTGTGTGTGTGTGTGTGTGTGTGTGTGTGTGTGAGAGAGAGAGAGAGAGAGAGAGAGAGAGAGAGAGAGAGAGAGAGAGAGAGAGAGGTCTTTGAAGGTGGAGCACTATAACCTCTGAAGTTAGTACCTGGAGGTGTTATTAGAGATCTCCTCTGTCATATAGAGTCATGCAGCACCGTGATGTCTCTTTGCCTTTGTACACATGATAGGAGCTAAAGGCAGAGAAAGCTCTCCCCACCCTTTTTTTTTAAATTAGGAAAAGTGATTAAATTATAGATTATCTGGCTCTTTTATACCCCCCCATGACAATTTCTGGTGGTTGGTGCTAAGATTTTTAAAGTTGTCTGTATGTAGTAAATACTGAGTTTACTACTTTTAACTATTTTTTCATCTTGAAGACACGCTATGCTTGATTAATCTAAATCTCTCCATTCAGTTGCAAGTTTACAAGTTTCCCATAAAATGGGACATACTAACCTGACAATCTTTAAGTAGCTGGTAAGTAGAGGACATTACAAGCCTGTTTTATGTTAGAAAATTGTTAGTCAAAGCTTCAAGGAAGTTACTTACAATTTATAGAAAAATACATTATAGATTAAGCTTTGTAAGTATATTCTTCATCATTGCCACCCGCAAATTAAAACTGTAACCTCTCCTTGTTTGTTACATCTTGGAGGAAAAATACAGAACTTAAGAATCAAGGAAATGAAAATCTAAGCCGTAAGACACAAACACTATGAGGCCAATTTAATTCCTGTTTTCTTTCTTTTGAAATTAAAATGTGACTCACCGTTATGGTCTCATCAGTAGCCTAGGCATTACTGTTTCGGAGAAGACTATAACGACTTCCTTACATGAAGTATCTCATGTCTGGCTTCAGTTTTGGTGGGGTTGTGGCCTTCATGCTCGGTATTTGTTTTCTTTCTTGAGCATTTTAGTTACTGGACTGCCTTTGCTCTGATGGTTGCGTCATAACCCAGCTGTACTCGTCCACTTTACAGTATCAGATATCTCATTTTAACCCCTTCTCTGCTAATGCACATTGTTGCCCTGTAGTGGCTTTACAGTTTTCTAAAATAGTCCTTTACTATATCCTGAATGGGATGGAATTTTCCTACTCACCAACTCTTCCAGTCTCTACAGTCCTTGTAGGCGAGATTGGATCAGCAACAGAGTATAACATCTGACTGGTAAATATACTTTGACTTTTGCCTGGACTGCTTATGTTGACAAATGGGAAATGCTGCATTAGCTCTCGAACCAAAACATTTAAAGTACTCTCTGAAATGCTGACTTCTTGCCAAATGCTTAAGCATCAAGCAGTACAGACTTTTACTAACCTTAAGAGGTCAGCTCTAATCCATGCTCGTGTAAGTTGGATCTGATGTAGATTTGCCTAAGGTTACAAATGATCCAGGCCCAGCCAAGGGTGAACAGTGGGATAGGGTGGGTCAAGGGAGAGGAACCCAGCCAGCAGGGGGATGGATTGTTCCCATGTCTAGCTGTGACCTTTGCTGTGAAGCTGTAGTAATAATAGCTACAGTGTTCTCTGTTTGGAAGCATTTTCAAGATTGGAGTTTCCTGATTTTAGCTAACTTCTTTAAGTTGTTTTGGTTGTTGTTGTTGTTGTTTTCCTGGAAAACTAAAACTTAATCTGGGAGTAATGCACACCTGTGTTGGAGGGCTGTAAAGATGGGTATTCACAGAACCCTTGACCTGTGCTGGCCATGTAGCAATGGATGATCAGAAAGTGATTAAGAGGGTCCCAGTGTCTTTGGGGCACAGAAGTGCCCTATCCTAGGGGTGCATTGGATGCTGATTGTGCCTAGTCTGCACTAGCTTTTAATGAGTGGTGCCCTGGGACTTCTGATCTTTCTCTAGAGTGTCAGTACAACTCCAGTCTCATTTTGGACATCCCTGTCCAAAATGGACAACCATTTCCATCTTGATTTGCTGCTTGACCCTAGTTTCTGAGTGTTTAATTAATTGTTCCCATGGTTTTCTCCTCTTTAGTTACATTCTGGATCAGCAAAATCACACCCCATCTCTCAGTAGCAGTTCCCCCATGTGCTCAGGGCTAATCTTAGCGTTGGACTTGCCTCACTTCCTTTACTCTTTCTTAAATGTCTCATGTTTTATTTCACCATTTTGTCTCCTGCCCTTTGCCTTAGAGAAGTAAAAGTTCCTCAAACTCTTCCTTATCTCCTAAGCAGCTATCAAACTTCTCTTGTAACTCCTTTTGCAGATGCGTTGAAAACGTGGTTCTGGTTTGCTGTCTTCACTTCCCCTCCACTCTGTAATCTATTTGCCTGTGACTAACTGCACAAGCCCTTCCCCACTTCCTATTGCTCGTCTACGAATTGTTTTAAAGATACTTTAAGGCAGCTTTTTTTTTTTTTCCTTTGAGATGTGAAAATGCACAAAATAGGCTGCATCTTGACCTGTTTTGTATTTTGAAATGGTTCTGTTAAGGATTGCAGGCTCTCCTTGTGCTTCTCTGACTTCAGCAAGCCCAGAGCTTACAGTCCTTATGCCTTGACACTTCTGGATAGTGAAGTTAGAGGTGTGTGCTCCATACCTGGCCCTTGAGTGTTTACTGACTGATTAATTAATCAATTAATTTGAGATTAGGGTCTTTTTGAGCTGAGGCCCAATGCCCCTTAAGCCATGGGATTGCAGGTGGAAGCCACCACATGTAGTCTCTTGATCACTTCTAAGGGTTCAGTGACGTCAGTTTTAGTCACAGTGTTATGAAACCATTACCACCTTCATTTTCAGAACTCTGTTCATCTTACAAAACTGAAACTCCATCACCATTATATGACCGTTTCTTCTTTTCTGGAAATTACCCCTCTTCTTTTTGTCTGCATGGACTTGACTTCACTAGGTACTGTAGATATGTGGGTTCACATAGCTCTTTCATGACTGTCGTATTTCACACAGTTTAGTATGATTTTTGTTGAGCATGCTGCAGCATGTACCAGAATCACATTCCTTTGTCAGGCTGGGTAATTTTGCATCATGTGTACATACCAACCACCTTTTGTGCTCTCCTTAGACACCTTGTCCTTTGCCCCTTCAGACTGTTGTGTACTCCTAGGCCATGTGGGCACACAGATATTTGAGATCTGGATTTCAGTGCTTCCAGGCAGAATACTCTCCTGTTAGTGGTGGTTTTAAATATTAAGTGGAAAATTCTGTAAGTAATTTGTAAGTGGGATTTATATCTTTCTGAATAGTGTGGAGTCACCTTAAAAAGTAAGTAATTAATCTTATCTTCAGCAAACAAACAAAAAACCTTTGATACAGTTTATCTTTTAAACCACATTGAGATAATGTCATGACTGGAATAAGCTGGTCTGATTTGTTCAGAGTATTTACTGTCTGTGTAGAAGCACTGTCTTCACACATTCTCCCCCACCATGTAAGCAGTATTCCTATAGGATAACTCATTCTCTAAACAAGAACAGCAACGAATAAAAGGCTATTCATCTCTCTCTCTCCTTCTAGCCACAAGCTAACATTAGCTACCTTCGACATGCTAGATACTACAGGGACCTTGGGTGCAACCACAACTCTGGACAAGCTGTTGTTCTCTGTTGTTTTGTTGTAATGAGACCTTGAGCTGTGAGGGCAAGCTTGATCGGACAGTGACTTTTCTATCCTTATTGCTTACCATTTTTTATTCACAGGATTAAAAGAACATGAAAGTTAAGATATGTTGATTTTCAGTTCCTCTTCCATGTGTTAACTTGCATCTTGTATTTTGTAAGTGATACTTCTGCACATTTGGGAAAGCCACAGTGAGAGTTTATGTACTCACTTATTTCTGAGGACTGGTGAGCTACAGCATAAAACATAAGTTTTTTTTTAAATAAATGTGTGAAATGCAGGACTAGCTTTGCTCACCTGTAATCCATTAACTACAAGAATTTTCCCATATAGAAAGTCTTGAGTAAGATATATATTTTTTTAAATTAAGACAAGGAGTTTTGATTATATGATTCAAACTTGGTTCACATTTATAGGATTAGAATAGAGATTTATTGCAGGAAGACTCCAGCCTTGCATGGTCATTCCAGGAGGAAAACAGGGTTGAGAGTCTCTGTTCATAATTGTTTCATATTTTGTGAACCGAAGGAAGAACTGGTAGGGAATGAGACCAGAAGCTGTAACCTTTACACGTTCAAAGCTGTATTACCAAGGAATTGCAGTGACCAGGGACAGGCCATGGACTCTTTCCAGCATGATAATGTCAGTGTCTGTGATTGAAGATCCAATGTCAAATAAAACTGGCTGGCTTAAATGTGGAGATGTGGGGGTGTCTAGCCTTTGACATTACAACATGACTTGTCACCTACAAATATTAGACCCGAGATGCATGCAGCCTATAGATCTCACAGGTTGAACATGCCTGGTAGAGAATAAATCCTTGCATATTAATTCAAGACACACCATTTATTACTTTGTTTTACTTGGTCCATTCTGTACTCAAACTCCCAGAGATGTGTCTGCCTCTGCCTCCCAAGTGATGAGATTAAAGGATATGTGGACCACTGCCAAGCTCTGATCTGTATCCTACTAAGAGTGGAGGGAAGAAGGGGTGGCTTACCCCTCTGTGCTTTGTGAGCCCTCCTTTGCATTCTGCTTTGATTAGTTGTGTTTCAGATGGCAATGGTGGTCTCTACTGGTTTAGGGGAAAGGTAGGTCTTCATATGGTCCTTTCTCAGTCTGATTTATAAAGTCACTTGGCTATTCTGGTTTGGAGGAGGGGCAGCACTCACAGGCTGCTCAGATCATCTTCCTGGATTGTGGATCACCATCTCTTGCTTATCAGTCTGTGGACCTGGGTCCTTGAGACTAGCAGGGAAAATAAGTCTTCCCAGTGCAGGCAGGTAACTGGCATTTAACCACTGACAGCTTTGTGCTTGCTTCTCCCAGCCTAAGAAACTTTGCTTTCTCGTAATAAATACTAAATTGATTTAAAATGTCAGTTCAAGCCATGCATTTATGTTCTTTAAGAAGTCAATTAATCTGATGGAGTTCAGAATGAAAATAACAGATCATACTCTTTCCTGTCTTGGTAGTCACTTTTGCTTTTAGCCACAACCTCTCTCTTTCTACAAAATTGTACTTTGAGGCATTTTTATGGGGAAGATGAATATTCATATTTATTCTCTGTTGCTCTAGATAATTACATCCATTATTTTCAGAGAAACTGGCATGCCTTGTCCACATTGCTGGAGCAGGGTGACTATTGTCTGAGGCCGAGGTTCTTGACTTGACTAAGCATTGCAGTATCCCTATTGCCTCCAGTGACCAGGGAAGCCTTGTCCAATGTCGATGACATGACATCCACACTCTCGTGCAGATGGCCATTTCCCACATACATTAGTTAAGGCATGCAAATACAGTGCAGTTTTGAGTATATTTATGTTTAACATCCTAGGTGCTCCAAAAATCAAATCTTTCTGAAAAAAAAAAAACACAAAATATTTTATGTGTGTTTTCATGTGATGAGTCTCAGTCCAAACACAGCCTCGGTTTAAAAAAAAAAAAAAAAAACCTTCAGGTTATATGGGTAAGAGGTGTGTAAAACTTAATTTTGGGTTTGGAGTTGGTCTATACTCCTGGGTCTGTCTGTCTGTCTGTCTGTCTGTCTGTCTGTCTCTCTCTCTCTTTCACTCTCCATACATATATACATACATACACACATAGACACAGAATCTCAAATATCTGGAATTTAAAAAGCATTTCTAGTCCAGGGATAAGAAATACTTAGAATTTACATTAACCTTAGCTCTTGTATTTTAATATTATATTTCATCTAAAAGTATGTAATACAGTTCATTTACACACACACACACACACACACACACACACACACACACACACACACTACCACCGTCATCATCATCCGATCAAGGTTTCTTAGTGTTAGAGTTCAATAGAAACTTGTTTTGACAAATCATTGTGGTTAATCATTTTCTCCTGTATTTCACAGCAAAACTTGTGCATTTTGC